GAGAGAGAGAGAGAGAGAGAGAGAGAGAGAGAGAGAGAGAGAGAGAGAGAGAATAAAAACACTGTATAAAAGTAAATTGTTTTGCTATTCCTGTTAGCAGGCCTGTTAATGCCAGAAGTTAATTTCTTCCTTCTATACCACCCAATTGCATCAGGTGTTAAATGGTTCCTTGGTCCAGACAATTGGTCAATAACTTCCAAATCCTTTGTGTAGACTAAACAAATCAAAGTCTATTTTTCCTTCATGCTACTTGCTGGAGGGTTATGTTCTGCTCTAGACTTGGCCTAATGGAGGCTTGACCTGTCTGTGCCTGCATCATCTGGACTGTCTCAGCCACTGCTGCAGCTGGAAAGAGATCATGGTGGGGTTGCCTCGTACCCACACTCAAACGCTTTGTCTTAGAAGTGATGCACATTGCTGTTGTTCATTACCCAATTGTTAGAGTAGTCTCAAGATTCCACCTCTCTACAGCAGGACCAGAAAATATAGGGGAGCATGTGGGATGCAGGAAAACACATGTTCCTGACATGTAAGGACCGTGCTCTTAATGTCAAAGGGCTGATAGTGAGTGGACTCCAAGCCAGGGAAGAGAATAGGGAGGCTCCAGAACCTCCCACCCCAGAGAAGAAACACTTTGCTGTATGCAGGCCACTCTCAGGCTAGCGTTTGAAGTTGTTGATATGGGCAAACAAGGAGGTCTGCTCTTCCAGAACTACTTCCACACCAACTTCCAGACACGATCTGGAGGGATCCTCATAAATGAAGTGATAGAATGCTGTCCTGGGTTTGGCCAAGGGCCTTTCCTTCTCCCATCATTTCTGTTTCCTTGTCCATAACAGTCCTGTATGTACAAAATGTAAAGGAGATGGACTGCCCTTTCCATCAAAGGGCTAAATGACACAGAGTGGTCCATCTCTAGAGAAGTTAGTAAAGACATCATCTGGCAGAAATTCCCGCCCCCCCAGCATTTTCCAAGATAAAAGTATGTGCATGAGGTGGCCTCCTGATCTCGAACATGACCCTTTGCCTACCAGCTGCCCCACTGGGTTGGCCAGCTGTGCAAGGATGCAAGATGAAGCTCTTATCACTCAGAATGAGGCGCAGGACCCCTTTGCATTAAAAAGCAGGGCTCCCACTGAGTGTGTTTGCTTGCTGGATTTAGAGGGGCTGTTCATCCTTCTGCAGAAGTAAACCTTTTTGCCTTGCTGAAAAACTTTGTATTGTGTGGACATTTTCTTGGAACCCCAGACCCATTTCTGATACCATGTCGCCATGATCTAATTATTCACGTACTTTCCATTGGGTTGTAAGTCCTGTGTGTTCGTAGCTGAATCCTCAGCACTTAGCCCAGTGGCTGGCAAGGCAGGAACCACCAAATGTTCACAGATCCTCTTAGATTCCAAACATACGTTGATGTGATTAAGCTTTCACACCGGGCAGCTGTCAATCTTCCGCCACAGCTGCCCTTCTTTACCCTCCACAAGCACAACTAAGTGTCTTTTCAATATGAATGATCAAGAGGCATTAAAGAGCCCGGCTGCTCAAACGCAACACCCAGGGTTATGAGCTATATACTCATGGGTGTGTTATCAGACTTTTCTGTGCCTCATTTCCCTTACCTGCACAATGCAAGTTCTAGTGGTCTCTGCCTTACGAGTGCTTATGAAGACTAAATAAATAAAATGTATTGCCAAGCAATGCTTGCTCAGAACAGCACTGTTAGCTAAAAGGCCATGACTTCTCTTTATCACTGCCCTGCCCCCCCCGCCGCCACTTCCCTGTGTCCCCACACACTTCACCCATATTTCTGCCAGTGCCTGTGGGGTGCTTTCTGTATAGTGGATCTTTCCAAAAGTAGAGTTCAAGCCGCTGAAGGCAGACTCAGGATCTTAGGGAGGGTGGAGAGACCTGAAAGAATCCCAGGGTGGTTTTCAGGGGATGTTCCAAGCCAAACAAACCATTCTTCAGTGCTAGGTATGGTGGCACACACTCATAATCCCAGCAACTAGGAAATTGATGCAACATGGGCATGAGTTTGAGGCCATCCTGGGTTATAGAGTGAGACTCTGTTGATGATTCATGCTGATGATGATTCTGTAGTGAGTTAAGTCGGGGATCAGACAGACTAACTCTATGCAATGTGTGTTAAGGCATCAGACACCCCATGAAGCCCTGTAGTAAAGAAACCCGCTTAGTTTGTTGAGTTTGGAGCATGCCCAACTTGCTCCTATTCTGTTCACTGTCATCTATTGGATGTAATCAGGAGTATCAGTGACCCTGGACTCAGACTGGCCTAAGCCACCTGACACTTTGCAGATGTGTCTGCCTGGGCAATTTCTATCACTGGTGGAATTCTCAGCTTCCAACTTGTAAAATGGCAACCAGGGTACAGACCTTCAGAGCCTCATAAGCTAAAACTTCCTCCGCCTGCCTGAGCCATGTGGGTGCTGCTAACTGTCCTTCCGGCCTTCCCACCCTCCGCTCCAAGGTCTAGCTGGCATGAGTGACACTCCTGCTTGGATAGGGTGTGACAGGTTTGAGGAAACAGGGCACATCTGGCCACTGGCCATTCCCAGGCAGTCGCTTCTCTTCCAGGTTTACTATTGATCCCACGTCTGTAACTCCAGTCCATCCTCTTCTCCTTGGTGACCCCCATGGCCATTCTTAGAGCCCTCTACTGAGGCAGGAAAGAGGCTGGCAGGCTGCAGCTTTTCCCTGTATGGACAAGCACATCTCCCCTCATCAACAAACGCTATTTTTACCCTGAACCCATTTGCTCTTTGCATGCATCGAAGGAGTCAGTTTAGGAGAGGAGACGTCTGTTTCCGGCAGTTTTATTTTCTTTTATATCGGACACCTCACATCACCTCCTTATTTCAAGCTGCCCATCTGGGAACTTTGCCATCCAACTGCAGGCGAGGTCTTGGTTTGGTTTGGTTCCTTACTGAGGGAGAGCCAGCTTCCTCTGTGGCCTGCACAGCTGTTTTTGGCTCTTCACAGCAGGTGTCTTCTGGAGAGCAGAACTGCCCCTCTGGGAAAAGCTGTAGAGTTTCTCAAAGGACAAAAATCTTAGGAAGTTTGCTTCTTGTCATTGAGAAGCCATCCACAGCAATACATACTTCCTGAATGCCTAAAAACAAGAAAATTCTGTATGTTAGCTCTGTATTTCATCTTTATCCACTAAGTGAGAAATGACAGAACAAGAGACTTGGTGGCTCCATAGCAGTACTGGTGGCTTCTATTTTTTGTTTTCTTTTAAAAAATTTTATTTTTATTTTATTTCATGTGTGTGAGTGCTTTGCCTGAATGTGTGCCTGTTCGCCACATGCATGCATGGTGCCTAAGGAAGTAGAGAGCTTTGGGGAGCTGGGAACCGAACCCAGGTCCTCTGCATGAACAGTGAGTGCTCTTAGCCCCTGAGCCACCACTCAAGCCCCCTTCTATTCTTCATTTACCCCTTTTCATTAAACTCCAGAGGAACACAAAATGAGCAGGCTGCAGCCTGAGCATCCCCCGTGGAAGTGAGGAGAGACAGGTGTTTGCTTACAGAGAAGAGAGTGTAAATAGGAGAGTCGGGGTTCTGTTTGCAAAGACTTGGGAGCTGTTGACTGTGTCTGAGCAGAGGCTGACTGAGAACTACAGTGCCTCATGAAAACTTGTCAGGCAGGGATGAATCAGGGAAGAGAGCGGAAAGCATTTAAAAGGTAAGGGTCACGAGATGAACCAGGACCGGGCAAAGGGAATGGGAACAGAGTCTCAAGCGGAATGACAGCCCCAGACCACAGGCTGAGTTGTTGATCACTGGCTGGGAGGAGGGGTTGGTCAGTCAGTGATGGCCCCTGGGTGCCTGGAGCATCCTCCAGCCTCCAGCCCTGCCTACCTGGCTTCTTTCACAGGAGAATCTAGCCTATTCCCCTTCTCTCTCTTTGTTTTTTCTTTTTCCTTCCTTCCTTCCTTCTTTCTTTTTTTTTCTTCTCTCTCCTCTCTCTCTCTCTCTCTCTCTCTCTCTCTCTCTCTCTCTCTCTCTCTCTCTTTTTCAAGACAGTGTTTCTCTGCATAGCCCCGGCTATCCTGGAACTCACTTTGTAGACCAGGCTGGCCTGGAACTCACAGAGATCCGCCTACCTCTGCCTTCTGAGTGCTGGGATTAAAGGCGTGTGCCACCACCACCTGGCTTGTTTTTCTTTTTGAGGCAAGATTTCATGTAGCCAAATTACATGGCCTCAAACTCACTATGTGGCCAGGGATGACTTTGAACTCCTCATCTTTCTGCTTCTACCTCTTGAGTGCTGGAATTACAAGCATGAGCCTGGGTGTCTGGTTTGAATCTCTCTGTCTTGAGTTTCAGGACTATTTACATTCCACTTACAAACCTTTCCAAAATCCTAAGACTGAGTTACTCATCCCTGCTTCCTATGCTGTCCCAAATTCTTTCCATCTTTCTATTGCTCAGTAAACTCTGGAGGCAACCAGCTCAACATCCTGTCCCTCTGGATTGCGGCTAAGACACCAGCACGGAGTCAGAGGTAGATATGGCAGGTGAGCATTACAGCTGGCTCACTAAGCTCTTGGACCCTCAGCTGCTGGTGTTCAGTGGCCGTCCTCAGGTGGCTCCTACACATGGAGATGACTCAGCCCATGCCACTAATGGTAACCTGGAAAATTCTGCTCAATTCTGGTTCCAAATTTCAGGGCATGCACCCTTTAGCTGAGAAGCTGATGCTATAATGAAGTACTAGTACTAGTGGCCACCTGCAGGACTGGTCCCCTTTAGCAAACACTTCAACATTTGTCCTGACCTTCAGATATCCCTGGAGGTGAGCACACTGGCTGGCAGGATCCGTGTGGAAGATTAGAATGGAGACCCAGAGCTGTGACTCAAGGAGACACTGCTGCCAATGGCCAGAAGAGAGAAGAGAGCCCATGGAAGCTGAGAATCCAGCCATAAATTCACTCAACAGACACTTACTGTTGGGTGCCTTCCAGGATCCATGAGTTCTTCCAGGCTCTAGATCTGCAGACTGAAAAACAGGGCGGCCAGTCCCTGCCCTCTTGGAGCTTAGAGTCTACCAGATGAAAATAGACAGTAAATAAAGTTATTCAATCAACTGGAGCTGGCTAGTGTAAGAACTATGGGAAAGGGTAAGGGAACAGAGTGTCTGTGGGTGGGACTGGTCCGATTTGAACCAAGTTACTCTGAGAAGGCTTTACTGAGAAGATGACATTCAAGAAAAGGTATGAGGAACAAAGAAACATAGGAACAGGCCCTAGAGGACAAACTCACTGGGCCAAGGAGTCAAGTCAGGAAGATACAATTTCAAAAGTGACTTCTGCAATCTTTAGACAATTGAAAGACAGAATAGAAGTGTTCACCAAAGTAGTAAAAATATGTAGAATTAAACCAAACTTGGTATGCATTTGACCTTCACAGTTTGAAGATATCTATTAAATAGTTTGGTTATTCTTTCCTCAGTTGTATGGGGTTATCTCAAGATATGGGAGTAATTGTAGCTCTGGGCGTTTGGGCCATCTTAGGTGGGAATGTAACAGCTAGCAAACAGAAACTGTGGGTAACACTATGGATCCCCCTGATCATGCCCAGCCCCTTAGCCAGGGACCTTCTTCTCTCCAGCATAGACAGTGATCATCAAGTCACTGACCCTCTGTAGAGGATGCTGACAAAGATTGCCCAGCTCCTCAGGCAGGAGGCTGATGGCTGCAAGAGAAAGCCTCCACACTTCAGGTCAGGACTTTCCTTGGAGGAAACCCACATCAATTGCTGATCAATGGGCAGGGAAGGTTGTTGCCATGAGTAACAGCTCTGAATCGTCACTGAGCTCCAGCACATGGGCGGGCAGCTGCCTGTGTTGTATCTATTACAGTTCCTCCTGACCCATCTTCTCCCACCGCCCTTGATCCCACGCATCCCTCATCTAAGTCCCGCAGACCTCCTCAAAGAACATACCTCTAATATGCACTTGCATTGCCTCTGCCCCTTCCCCCCTACCATTGTATAAACAGACAAGTGTAGCTTATCTCTCCACTGAGAGTCTTCATATGCCCTGGAGGGCTGGGCATCCTGCATATACCTGAGGCCTTAATTGACACACCTAAGGATGTCATTTCTGTCTCTGTCCAAAGAGACTCGTAGCAACTTCATGAGCTCCTGACACAGGTGCAGGCGGCCAAAGGGCTCAGCCCACAGGCAGCCATGCCAAACCATTTCTCTAAGCTGTTTTCGCTGGTGATGCGGCCAACCCCCGACCCATCCCTCTCCAGGAAATACAAGTCTTTTATCAGCACCTGGGAGGAAAAGGGGGTTCAACCGCCCTGTAGACACAACCCGCACATGTGATGCCAAGCGCAGTCCTCAGCAACCTTGAGGTTTTATTTTAAATGTTTAAGTGTTTCTCAAAAAGAGACATTCATGGGAGGGGGTGACGTGGAAAATCGTTTTCAGTGCAATAGTCATTTTCAAAATGCAGACTTATGAATAATCCTTTCCTTTCTAAAATTTAAATAAAAGTCAATTTCAATGTTAGAAAGTTGTAGGGACAATAGTTCAGCTCGCACCATGTGCCAAATTTCATGTCTATATTTAACAGACAGACAGACAAACTACATGCTGCTGTGGTACAAGGATGTCAGCTCCTTTCAAACATATCCTGGGGCAACAGGTTGCTTCATGGCAAAAGCAAATTTTCATAGTGCTGGTCAGCTGAATCTCTGCTAGAAAAGGTAGAAGAGCGACTAAGCTTGGTAGGTAAGAGCATTTGCCATGCAGGCGTGAGGACCTGAGTTCAGATCCCCAGTGCCCTTGTAAAAAAAGTCGTATGTGGCTACTCATACCTGGAACCCCAGTGTGTTGGGGGGTACAGAGAGAATGAACTGCTGCAGTGTCTTGGCCAGCCAGACTCGCCAAAATGGTGAGCTCCAGGTTCAGTGAGAGACCCTGCCTCAAGGGAGCAAAGTAGAGTGTGATAGGGCAAGATGCTAGAGGCCCTCCTCCGGGCTCCACATCTGCACACATGGGCACACGAACTCATATGCACTACTAACACACAAATAATAATGCCAAATTACTATACTATTTTCAAAGACAGAGGATCCAGAACAACAACTTCTGCTGAAGAAAGAAGTTGACCTCCTGTAGCTTGGGAAGCTAGGGGAGGGAAAAGGGAAATCCCACAACTTTGATTAGACAGTTGGGTGAATTTCATCGGCTCCAGAGTCATCAAGCCATCTCATGAATTCAGGTAGTTCTAACAGAACGCTGGCAACAACAACAGTTTATCTCTCATGCATCTGGAGGCTGAGAGGTCCTAGAGCAAGGAGCCAGTAGATTATCCCTGGGGAGGGTCAGTTCTTTGTTTTCAGATGGCCCCTCCCACTAGCTCTTCCCTGGAGATCCCTCATGAGAGAAAGATCATTTCTCTGTCTCTCTCTGTCTCTCTGTCTCTCTGTGTCTCTCTGTCTGTCTGTGTGTGTGTGTGTGTGTGTGTGTGTGTGTGTGTGTGTTTCAGAAACTCAAGGCTGAGAAAACGGTGGCATGGAGTCTTTGTTGAGCATGGCTGAGATGGAAAAACTCTGCTTTGATCTCCTCTATAGAATTCTGAAATTCTCTTGACACTTGGGTTTGCTAATGAAAAAACCTATTCTTAACTGCTGGGTCATTTTCCTCAATACTCTGGGTAATTTAAATTTGCACCACCAAGATCTTACCAGGTGGCCAGTGGCGGGGCACCAGAAGGCATTGCCTGCCCTGTATGAGAGAGTGTCACAGGACAAATAACTGCTCTTACATCTTTTGTGCCCAGGTGCCACACTGGGGTAGAAATCTGAAGGATGTCACATCTCCTGGAGTCACTGAATGGATTGGCTGTGAGGGGCTGAAACAACAAAGCGAGGACGAGTCAAAGCAAGGACTAGCTTTAGCTGTCTCCACAGGAAAAAAGAAAAGCAGTGCCCTCTATAGACAAAGTAGGAAGCTCACATTTTAGTGATTTTGTTCTCTGACACATGAGCTTTGGAGTACTCATGTTCATCCATCACATGCCTCTACACACAGAAATACACAGTCAAGGGCACTCACACACATGCATGCACACACACACAGGCACACACACAGATGCACACACTTGCACACACACACACACACACACACACACACACACACTGAAGACAAAGGCAATACAAACAAGGACCACATTAGTAGCAAGCACCAGCCTGGTCTCAGATTATTGTACAGAGCAGGAATTCCAGCTTCCTGGAATTCAGACTTATACCCACGAGAAACGCTGCAAAATGAACCCACCAGTGTTGCCAACAGCATGCTTTTACCTGCAAAGGAGCAGAGCAGCGCCTTTCCTGAACCGGCCAGATTTTCCGTTTCCCTGGCATGGAAGTTCTCGTTGTCACCACTGGGGGGCAGTATTTCCATCTTACAGGGCTTCGTGGTTGTGAACCAAGTCGCTGAAGGAAAAAAAAGATCAATTATTATATACATCAACTAAATGACTTTTGGGGGTTCCAGCATCCTCTTTTTTTATGTTCCCTGACTCGAGTTCTGTCTGTGTTTTCCTGTGTGCAGTAAGCATCCATTTTACTTGCAAAGGCTGACACCAGGTTTGTACCATTCATTCAGTTTAGAAAAAGTTATTCGACGTTTTCATACGTGTATAATGAATTTTTGTTGCTTTCACCTGCCATCCATTCATTCGCCTGGTCAACATGTTTTGTGTATGAGAGTGAGTGTGTGTGTGTGTGGGGGGGGGTGAGTGCTCGTGTACGTGCTTGTAAAACTACAGGACAACCTTCAGATTTCCTTTCTCCCTTGCACGGAGCTTGCCAAGCCAAGTAGGCTGGCTGGCCAGTGAGCCTCCGGAACCTACCTGCCTCTGTACCACCGCCCAATACAGGAATTAGAAGCACATTTTATATGGGCTGTGGAACTCCAACTCAAGTCTCCCTGCTTTCAGGACCACAATTGAGCCGTCTCCCGAGCCCTTAATGAACACACGGTATCCTGTAGCACAGGATCACCTCCTATGGAGCTTTGGGGATTCTGGATGCTGAATAAGGCTTGAAAGTGGGCATTCTGTAGGAAAAGAAGCCCATCTTAGTGTTCGGCCTCATTTTGACATTTGATAGCTTGGCAACCATGGGTAAGACATCTTGACTCTCTTATAGTTATGTACAACATACATAACAAACACTTCCCTTCTACCTGATTTTGAAAAGCAAAGGTGTTGAGCGATGAAATACACAGAATGGTCATTAAACACCTGTTCAATCTGTGGAACAGCGCATGCGCGACACTGAGTGGACCCTAATGTAAACAGTGGATTTGGCTAGGTCTCTGCAGGTTCACCCACGCAGCAAGTATACTGCTTTGATGGGGGCTGTCGGTTACGGGAGAGGCTGTGTGTCCTGGTATATGTATGGTATTTCCTTACCTCCCTCTTAATTTTGCTATAGATTCTGAAACTGCTCATTGACCTTTTTCACTTAAAATGATGTTACTTGTACACATGAACCCTAATTGAAGGCATGTATAACGTGTAGGTAGAGGCTACCCTGACTTCCTGATCCTCCATCCCTGGGCTGTACAAATAGCACAAGGTTGAAGTCAAGTCCATCATTTTCTTGACATTTTGGTGACAGGAAATTTCCTTAAATCTTCTCCAGGTGTCCATCTAATTTTTAAAGACAATGCCAATCTGCAAATTCCTCTTTGAGAAAATATCAGTTGACACTCAGATTATACACCAGAGAGGTCATGGGTCCCATTTCCTTCCACAGTTAGCAAATGTTGGGGTTTTTGCATATTGTAGCACATAAAAAAAGACACCCTACTGGAGTTTTTGCTTGCTTTCCGTGTGTGTGTGTGTGTGTGTGTGTGTGTGTGTGTGTGTGTGTGTATGTGTGTGTGTGCATGCATGTATTTGTGTGTAGGGATCACATCACTTCTTGTGTTTGTTAATAATATTTTTGTTGGATATGCTGTGTTTTCCTTATTTTGTGGGACATAGAGAAAACATGACAACGTGACCACTCCTTGGTACAGTTAAGGGAGAGATCAGCCAGAGGCATCTGGAAGGGTCCAGAGTAGAGAGAAAAAGAAGTAGACTGAACATGGCCAGCAGACTAGACGTGGCCAGGGCTGTCTGCAGAGAGGAGAGGACATCAGGGGATGACGAATGGAGAAAACATAGTGAGAGGAGCAGGAGCAGAGCACGGAGAGAAGGAAACAGCACACCAGGAATAGCAGGGCTATAAGGAGAGGAGCAGCTGAGGGGTGGGGAGCACGTGATCTGCAGGGAGCTTAGGGTGGGGAGGAGTGAGAAGGACTGGGACACCAGCATGGACTTTGAAATCTGTACATGGTTCCTGTGGTGCTGGGGGAGGCTGGAGGCCAGCATGAACTTCGAGATGTTAACAGGCACCACAGGCAGCCATGAGTCCCTTCTGCCAGGAGAAAGGGAAGTGACTCCTTTTGGTAGATGAGAACCAGTTTCGAAAGTTCATGGGGAATGCTGGCTTTTATCTAAGTGCCAGAAATCCTCCCACAGTCCAGATTGAGCCCATTTCTGGATATTTGGATTGCCTCTTGGAGTCTGGAGAATTAGAATTTCCTTTGGAAAATAACAAAATTAGCTTTCTTTCTGTATTTTGGTTGCTAACATTTGCTCTAGTGTGTTCTCTGCCTCAAAAAAAAAATGTGTGTATGGTATATGTGTGTGTGTGTATGTATGGGAGTGCACATACCTCTGTGCCTCTATGTATATGTGCATGCGTGTAGACACACACACACACACACACACACACACACACACACACACACACAAACCAGAAGTCAACATCAGATGTCTTCCTCTATCTCTTTCCATTGTATTTTTTTGAGACAGTCTCTCTGAGCCTGGAGATTGACGTTTCAGGTAGACTGTCTGGCCAGCAAGCCCTAACACCCCTCCTGTCTACACCTTCCCTCCCCTAACCAGTGCTGGGCTACAACCCCCCCCCCCAATGTGGCTTTTTTTTTTTTGGTCAATTCTGAGGTTCTGAACGCAGGTCTCGATGCCTGCACAGTAAGCACGTTAACCCGCTGTGCCCCCTCCCCAGCCCGTCTTTGACTTTTGACTTGATTAGCACTGGTACTTTGTAGATGGTTTATGGTGTCTAGGCTTTGCATCACATGCAGACTTTTCCCATTCAGAGATTATAAACAGAGGGGGGGGGGGAAATCCTACATTCTGTTCTTGGTTTTTTTTAATCGTTTTATTTTCATATTTAAATTGTCAGCCCCCTGAATTCTATTTTTACGAACCAAGTATGATATTGGACCAAAGTTCCTCTTCCTCTTAAGAGCTTCCTGGTTGTCCCAGATTCTTTGATCAAATAATCTGTCTCCCCTGGTCTGAAACCTCCATAGATGATGCATAGGAATCAGCATAGGTCAATGACTTCTAAATCTGGCAGCAGAAGGCTCTGTAAGGTACAGAAATTCAGACGAGCCTTCTAGCCCCAATGGTGCCTCTCATCATTTGGAAAAAGAAGAAATAAATGTGCACTGAGCTGAAGCTCCACGTCAATAAATAGCTGTGTGGGAGAGTGGAAAGAACACGGCCCCTGAATCAGAAGCCCTCCCCTTGCCTCTCCTGTGTGAACAAGACACCCAGCTGCCCTGAGCCTTGGTTTTCTCCTGTGCAAAGAAATATTAGCCGCTGTGCCATCGCGTGGTTTGGTGTTCAAGCGCATTAGTGGCTGTGGGAGAACTTTATAAACTGTGGGGAGCCGTAGGCCTGGTTGTTGTTTGCGTTTTTTGCAAGGCTGGCCCAGGACTGCTAGTTAATATAGGTGACACAACCCAGATTTCTGAATGTTTAAACGTTCCATCTTCATGATTTCTTAGGAGCTGGTCAGCTTCTTTTACCTCTCTGGTAAGAATCCTGGGTCTGTGTTTTTTTAGCTTTCTCCTCTTAGACAGTATCTGGTCAGGGAGGTGGTAAGAAGAGGAGCAATGACAGGGACATTCAGTGTCATCTGTATGGAAGAGGGCTAAGAAACAGAGTGAAGTTCATGGCCTCATAGGATAGTTTTCCAGGAATTTTGTTTTCATTTTAGTTTCTCAAGACAGAGTTTCTCTGTTTAGCTCTGGCTGTTCTGGAACTGACTCTGAAGACCAGGCTGGCCTCGAACTTATGGAGATTTGTCTACCTCTACCTCCTAAGTGTGTGCCACTATCACCCAGCTTCTACGATTTAAAAAAAAAAAAAGTTCTGTTCTATGATTCATAGCAGCTTTGTTGGCAACACAGAGCGGCGGTAAGAACCAGGCAGTGTGGTGGTCAGATTCGTTCCCTCCTCCTGTCAGTACTCAGCAACCTCATTTCACCCCAGGGATTATGAAGATAGCATTCCTTGTGTTCATGCAAGTCTTCACAGGGGGTTCCCGACAGCTCAGACTTGCCCCAGGGAACACAGTGTACTGTGCCTGTGGTCCATCCTGTCGGGGATGTGCAGCCAGAATGGGACATTGCTCTTTCCCACCCCATGGACCAACAGGAAAATGCTACTAAGATCTTGTCAACTGAGCCAGAGAAGACAGTCTTCCTCATTGTCCTGGGGGAAGGCACAGTGTCCAGGAGGACAGAATGCAGAAAACACACTGGATACAGTGAGCACACGGGATGAGCGCTCAAGGAAGGGATCCTTAGAACCAGGACAAAGAGATGTACAGGGCAGCTGATGAAGAACAATGTTGCAGGGACTGAATGTGTTGAACCTGAGAAACCTGTTCTTCAAAGTTCCCTAGGTTGTGAACCCGGCTTTACTGTCTTTCCATCAACCCAATGACCATTTAGTTACTTGGTGGCTAATTTTGATCACTGCTCCAAAAGCTCAGAAGCCCTCCAGCCCAGGGGAAATTGACAACAACATTCTCCCATGGTTAGCACATTTTAGTATATTTTATTAAGTTCTAAAACTTTGAAAACTGATCACTCATAACACTCCAGCAGTTGGTCCAGGTGCTGTGACAAACGACATTTTCTCTGGGCCAGTTATAAACAATAAGTGAACCCTCAGGGAGTGAATTAAAAACCACAATAGGGTGTTTACAGTTTCTTTGGAGGGGGTCCATATTATTTCATTTTCAATTCAGAGTTTCCATTAACTCTATTCAAGTCTAGAGCTAGAGGAATGTACACATGTGTGTTATTGTTAGTGCAAGCCCACTGGCTGGGGTGGGGAGGTAACCCACACCCAGTGCTCCACACTCAGGAGGCTCACACTTGGATCCATGCTGTGATGAATAAAGGGCCTTATGTGTTCATTTAGCACTGAGCCCTACAAACTATGTAGTCAGTCCTGCTTACTAGATGATAGATTATGCTCAAAAGCATGGGCAAGCCAGGTATGGTGGGGCATATCTTTAATCCCAACATTCAGGAAGGAAAGGCAGATCTCCATAAATTCAAGGGCAGCCTGGTCTACTGAGGAAAGTTTTAGGTCAGGGCTATCTAGTAAAATAATGTCAG